ATAACTTGACCATTTGTGTCAGCATTCAGTGCCCACACCCACGCAGGGAAGGCCGGTGAGCATCTTCCCACAAACCCATAAACAGCTGAACCTCCCCCAGGTGACACGCAGCTCCTTGGCCATGTTCGAGCCCTGTCTGAACCTGCCTCTCGGGCTCCAGGTTTTTATTTTTCCTTCTCTGGCCACTGCTCTTCGAAGTGCTGCGAAAGACGAATCCAGCCCCGATGCCAGTTTGATCTCAGATTTACAGCCCAAGCCCCAAAATCCTTCACTGCTTGTGCGGTCCTTCGAGAGAATCACAGCAGAAAGTGTTTATTTCCATCATAAAGATCTGTTTTAATATTTTAACATAAATCAAGCTGCGCTTTATGGTGATAATAAATTTCTTGGCAGAAACTGCCTTTGCAGCCTGAGGCAGCGGAGCAATTCAATTTGTTTGGTTTTAAGTGTAAGGAGCCGTAATTGAGAAGGGGAAAGTACAGATGTTTTAATTGAGTTTGCAGCTACCACCCAGAGTTGCAGGAGGCTAATGCAGAAGAGGTGAGGGTCTCCATTAGCCTCTCCGCTTGCCATTTCTCCTTGGCCCGCAGCCCCATCAGTCACGGCCGTCCCCTCCAGGACGCTGCGAGAGGAGGAAGGGGGTGGGAATAGAAGCCAGACTAAACCAGACATGTGATGTGCATTTTATTGTTTTTAATCCCATTTTTTGAAGACTAATTACAGTCAGGACAAGCATCACGTGTGAATCTGTAATAATGAACTGTTAGTGTTGATAACGGCCGAATAAAACCAGACTCATTCGTGATGGGTGAGAGGAGGGAGCTCCCACCCCGCACCGGGGTCACCCAGCGTCCCCCAGCCCACCCCCAGGCAGTGCTGGCTCCGCTGAGCCATCCCCTTCCCGCCCTCTCCAGTAATTTTTAAGGCATTGCTATGTCATGTTTTATATGAAAAATGTTCTCTCCACCATCGAGCTTCTTTCCGTTAATCACCCCCATTCCTTGGACAGATTTGTTTTGCTGCAAGGACAGCGGGTGTCTGGGAATTTGTGGTTATTTATTTAAGAAAGCACTCGTGCTCCTTGGGGACCAGGATCCCTCTCAGGAAGGTATCACAGCACGGCTGGGGCCAGGATGCGAGACCTCACCGTGCCACCGCCTCCACAACCGGGATCCAAGCAGCTCCTGGAGCTAAGGCCCCGTGGAAGCCACTGCCAGGCACCATGCCAAGGAGAGGTGGGCACCCAGGCCAGGGACGAGAAGGCACATCTCAAACATCCCAGATAGCAGGAGGGAGCGGGCCAGGCTGGGCAGCCTCCCCCCACCCCAGGCAAGGCAGGTGGGAGGCTACCCCGTATGAAAGAGGGGCAGGGAGGTGGGGAGACCACGGGCAGCCCTAAGGTGGGAAGGGAGGATGAGGAGATGAAATAACGGAGAGCAGCCCCATTCTCTGGCTGACAACGAAACGCAAGGGCACGAGACTGAAATGGGCACTTGAAGTGATGGAGCGAAGCACGGGCAGCCCGGGGCCAGCAGCGCAGGAGGAAAGGCCCCAGCCCCTCCATAAACCCACACCTGCACGCTTGTGCAGAGAACAGCGCCCGCAGCCTCTCCAGCTTTCCCAAGGCTCATTGCTCAGCGTCCCATCCCTCCCTCGAGCTGCCTCCCAGCTCAGCTGCCCCATGAATGTGCCCTCCAACCTCCATTTGCTGCTGTCCCTCCTCCTAAACGAGACACCAGCACCAGCTACCTGTAAAACAACTTGCTAATTTGGCACTGGAGATGCCACATCAGCTTCCCTGGAGCACTTGGGGATGTTTGAACTCACTAGCGAGAGCTGCCAATGCTTGTTTGTCTCATCTCCAGCTTGATCCTAAACAGGCCCCCCGGATCCTCTCCGAGCAGCGCAGCAAGGACACAGTGACAGCGCTCAGGCTCGAGAGGTGCAGGGTTCTGCTTTAAAAGCCATGAAGTGTTTTTATACAGCTCCAGGTACTTGCATATTCCCCCAGGAGGAGCACTTCAGGTCGTATGGAAACCAGAAAGGCCTACTTGAAAACAGAGCTTGATTAAAAAGAGCTGCAGTTCAAAGCCTGCTTTAGTGAGCGGTGATACTTAAAACTGCAGCAAGTGCAGAGGGCAAGAGGATCTAACATAAGTGACATGCACCTGGCTTTGAACCTGCTTTAAAAGTTTTCACCTGAAATATTTTACCCCCTACCTTATTAAAGTCCTTCCTGCTGCTGAGAAAACCCATACAACCTTTGCCCAAGGGCCTCAGAGCATGGGACACGGTGCTGTGTCACCATGAGGTATTACTGTGACCACCGGTAGCCTCAAAAGACGAGACCCACCTAGAGCCCTGTCTACCTCAGGTATTCCCATTCTCTGATAAGCTGAGCAGGAGCAGCCCAAAGCCCACCTTAACGCTGTGCAGAGACAGAAGAGGGGAGGGATTCAAGCCCAGTTCCAGCAGGGTTTCAGTTTTCGCTCTCCCATAGCACTGGGGAGCTCTGCTCCGCTTCCTCCTGGCAGCAGCCCAGTCCCTCGAGTTCACCCCCACCTTGTTTCAAGGCTAATTACCCAGCACAGGAGGCTGGAAACGCAGCACTGTGCGCAGGCAGAGCTCCTGCAGGCCCGACACATGTCAGGACTGGGTAATTAGCAGCTCCCCAGCACCCACAAATCCTGAACACTGGAGTAAGGGTCTGGCCCACTGCACCAGCCCTTTGCAAAGGTGAGAAAGGGGGCAGGGCTCTGCCAGCTGCATGCAGGAGCCGAGGGAAGCAAGGCTGCAGTTTCCTTTCCAGGGGCGAAAAGCCCTGCAGGTGTAGGGGCATTGCTCTGTCCGGCTGGGGCTGCCACAGCCCAGGGAAGAGGATGAGAAGTGTGAATGTAAACTCCCGGGCTGAAGAAATCCAGCTCTAAGCAAGAGATCCCAGATCCCAGGCAATCCACGGCTCATGTCTCTAGAAAAAGAAAATGTAACAGAACACAAAATTATTTTTGTCTGAATTAGGGCTACTCCCACCCTAATTTCCTCCCTCAGCTGGCACAGGAGGTTGTTTTGGAGGGGTCTCAGCAGACAGAAGAGACTCAGCTCCCTGAAAGTCCTGCTGGATTCTGCACAGCACGTCCCTGCCTTTGGGAGAAGGGACATTTAGCCCATTAGCGTAGCGAGCAGCCAAGGCTGTCTGCTCTGTGTGTGCTGAGACCTGCAGCACACAGAGAGCCGCTGTAGGGACGGAGAGAGCGATGCCCCAACAGAGCTGAAGGCAGAGACGGCTGGACACTGGTTAATTGTGCAGGCTGCCAAGGGCTCAGCCCCACGGCTTTGTATAGCGGGTCTGGGAACCAGGATTACAAGGCTGAGTCCGCTCCATCCACACCCAAAATGGAGCAAAGAACGTCTGTGTCCAGGTCTAGCTTGTGCCAACAAGCCAACGGCCTGGAAACTTCCCTTCACACTGCCTCTCCCCCTCTCCACCGTCCCAGAGGGGAAGCTGAAATGCTGAGGTCTCTGGAGCCCAGGGCGGAGCGCGCTGCTACCCCCACCTCAGAGCTTCGAATCGCTCAGGACAATGTTTGCAGTCACAAACACAAAGCAAGAGAAGCCCCATATGAGCACAAACACAATCCAGAAGGTGTGCCGGAAAGGGGAGAGGTGCTTGTTAACTGTCCCGCTGCCAAAGACCAGCTGAGTGTCCTTCCGACTGCGGTACGCCAGGAAAGCCGGAATGAGATACTGGATCCCGTTCCCAGCATAGGCTCCTGTGATCCCCACCAACGACTCCAGGTCATGGGTGCAGAAAGCCACCAGCACTGGAGGAATCAGCGTGATGGCAGGAAAGACAATCCTATCCACCACCCACGGGTAGGTCCCCCCTTCTCTGTGGAAAAGGGTCTTCCAGTTGTTGCGCAGGGTGACTGCGATGATGGGGAAGTTGGTGCTGATGGTGAAGACGGGGAAGAGGCCCAGGAAGTAGCGAATGAAGGCAACGCTGATGATCTCGCAGTTGGTGAAGTTGAGCGTGTACATGTCCATGAGGGTGTCATTGCGGAAGCAGTAAATGGCAGTGAAGGACAGGAGGCTGTAGAAAGCCAGGATCAGGATGTAATCGAGGAGCACGAGCTTGTTGACATGCTTCTTCTTGGAGATGGGTGTGATGAGGGATGGCAGGGAGTGCTGGCACATGAAGGAGTAGACGCACACCCCAAAGAGATTGCGGATGCCCGACAGCTGGGCCATGGACGGGTGACCTTCAGCTTGGCCTCTGCTGATGCGGATCAGCGCCAGAATAATCATGAGGATGAAAGCTGGAGAGAGAGAAGGTTTCAGGTCAAGCCCAGGTCTGTGCTCCCCCCGACCCTCCTCCCATTGGCAGCAGCTCCACAAGAGCATCTCCTTATCTCTGGAGAAGGTGGTACATCAAGGGCAAGATGCACTGGAATTAATCAGGAATTGCTGTCAGTGCTAGTCAGCAGAGCAGGGAACGGGCTTGGGACTGCCTTTGGCAGGCATCTCCCTCCAGCCTCCGGCCTGCAGGGACTCACCCTCCCACCGCAACAGTCAGCAGTTGCTCTGGGTGCTTCAGAAATCACATGCCAACACGGCTGTCTGAGCCCACTGCCCCAAGGGCCTCAGTCCCCGGATGCTTCTGCCACACACCTTGACTAAACATCACTGTTCAGAAACGGCTTAGAGACACTCCAGCTTTGACCTCTAAAGGAAGAAAAGATTAAAGCTGGCTGCAGAGTCACCCCCAGTAATGCTCCTGCACGTTTGCAACTGGACTAACATTTCTAAGACCCCAGATACATACACAAGCAGATGCACAGGAGCAGCAGCTCCTACCAAGCTTTCCTGTCCCCGTGATCTGTCAAGCACGATAGAGCAAGAACTAGCCAGCCATTTCCTGGGCAGGAGGAACAGGCTGTCTGTAGCTAATCCCAGGGTGCAGAAGCCAGTCTGGAAGGGACTAAAGCGGCACTGAAAGACTGCTATTAAAATTCATCACTTCTAGGCACAAAGTCTGCTCATCCACCCTTCATTTATATCAGAGAACAGCCTAACAACATTTTACAAAGCTTATCACAAAAAGCGACGTGCTACGGACAAAAATGAATTGATGAGATTGGGCTAATGCCCTTATTTACTCCACTGGTGGAAATTTGAGCCAGAAGCAGTTACTGCTAGACTGTTATTCCTAGCATGGCACATAAAACCAGCAGAAAACTAATTCTGGTGTCACAGAAATCACATCAACCTGGGAAAGATGATCATCAGCTGCTGGAGTTAACAAGGAGCAGGGGAAAAAAAACCTGCCTGGCAGGGCAGCAAAAAGCAAGATTTACAGTCTGGTGCTGGCAATGGACGGGCCGCTGTGGCTTGCACAGAGCTGTCTCCTGCACTGGTCTGAGGCATCGCAACAGAGGCGTGAATTATCAGGTAATGAAAATAATAACCAAGTGCTGACACTACTGCTATGGACAACTTTGAATGTCATAAATATAAACACAGAGGAAATAAACAGTGCAGAGCACAGTCCTGCGGCCAAGCCCGTAGGAGGCTGGCCACCGGCGCCGTGAGCCAGGCAGTCTCACGGAGAGGTGACAAGGACACGGCTTGCTCTGTGCCCACAACGGCTCTGCCTGACCGGGCAGCTGAGGATGGGAC